GGCGCGTGACTGTGCGCAGGTGACTCCCTTGCGCCGTCACAGGGTGACTGTGCGCAGGTGAGTCGTGGCCGCGCTCAGCGAGCACCGCACCCCTGTGTGTGCCGCCTCCTGCTCCCGCAGGGACACCCGTGCTAGGTCCTGCTCCTGCCACTCGCTCCCGGCTTTGCAGCGTTTAAGGATGGCAGGGTCACTTCATCACAGGCTGTTTATTTACATTTCACCACGTTATTGTTACTGAGCCCAAACCTTGTGTTTAACTAAAGCTTATCTTTTGGAATGAGGATGGGCGCTGCTCGCCTGTCTGTCCATACATCATGTAAGAAATAGGAAAGCTGTCTGTGCTCCTGCCACTCGCTCCCGGCTTTGCAGCGTTTAAGGATGGCAGGGTCACTTCATCACAGGCTGTTTATTTACATTTCACCACGTTATTGTTACTGAGCCCAAACCTTGTGTTTAACTAAAGCTTATCTTTTGGAATGAGGATGGGCGCTGCTCGCCTGTCTGTCCATACATCATGTAAGAAATAGGAAAGCTGTCTGTCTCAGAAATCGCTGATCACCAGCTGTTTTCACTTGTTTCTAAAACCAGATGATTCCTGCAGTCTTCTGTCATTACTAATTTGGCATCCTGTACCCTGTATGCCATCTTCTGTCATGTAACCCCTGTATGCTTGCCACAGTTTCTGTGAGGTGAAGGAGGCTTGTACAGTGTACTTACTTATATCACATATGCTCAGATTGTTGTACACCTGGTAAGGGGGGGGGGGGATAATGGTCACTAAAAGCTTTATCTGGCACTTGAATATCCAGAAAACTGAGTTAACTGGTATTGCTTCCCAGCCACCGTATCCCTACATTTTTGGGTGCATGTGCCCTGTTCCCGCCTGTCCAGCCAGTTTGATGCCTCCATCTGTTGTGTGACTTCTGACAGCTACCACCATCCTCAAGCACCTCCTGTCAGTGCTGCTTCAGCTGGAGGGCTCTTGGGCATCTGGTCCACTTCTCTGCCTGCCATCATGGCTCAGGGAGAAGAGGAAGGGCCATCAGACTTTTCCAAGGGAGCAAGGGTTGGTCACCATGGTAATGTCCAGTAATGGGGCAGGAGAAGAGCAATAAGCTCAAATATCTGGCACACTTGATTAACCACTAATTCCCATTCCTAAAAGTGCCGGGATAAGAAAGCATTACTGTACTGTAGTTTTATACCAAGCCCATTCAGTAAACTAGATTCAAAATGCTAATGAAAACAAGTACATCTAAATAGTCCCCAATAACATAATTTGTGACTTCTGAAAAGTGAGCATTTTGTTACAGAAGACAATTGAATATCTTTTTTGTCAACTTTTCCATTCCTTTTCTGTCTCTATTGCTAGGTGACTGTGGTCTTCCTCCAAGGTTCAGTTTTGCTGAGCCGCCTAAGGAACTGAACGATTCCTATCCTCTTCGGGCAAGTCTGAAATATTCGTGTCGCCCAGGATATACTTTCAGTGAAGGAAAGTCTCCTTGGGTTACATGTCTTGAAAATTCAACATGGTCAGCAGACACTGACTTTTGTGTAGGTGAGTATTATAGTTGCTTTTCCATTTCATTTGATGGGCAAGTTGTCTTAACGCAATTAGGAGTCTCTCCAACACTGGTATCCACAAACACTTTTTCTACATGCTTTTTGGACAGTTCTTTGTTTATATTAGCACAGGTTGTATTACCTGGGGTTCTTCCAACCCAAACCTGTTGGTAATTTTTACTCTCTGCAAGGTGGTGTCAGGAAATAATTCAGGGGAGACACGGTCATCTGACCGACAGATGGATGGTACAAACATGACAACATGAGTGGTTTCACTTAAAGCTAAACTTTACTTAATCTCAAGCACTTACACATGTCCACAACAGGTTAGTAAAACCCCCCACCCTTGATAGTTACCAAAGTTGAGTGTGGCTCTCGAGTGACACCGGGCAGGCTTCCAATAGCCAGTCTGTCTGCCGGTGGGAAGAGTCCTTGAGGCATCCTTCCAAGTGTTCCCAAAATAGTCCCCCTAACTCAAACTTTCCTTCCCTATTGATCCATAGTATTACAATAATATGTCATTTTAAAAGTACTTTCCTAACAAGTTTTTGAAGGTAAGGCAAGAGGGCTTTTTCTGATCACTTTCACCACATGGGTTTTTCATGCTCGGGAGGGGGGGACCCTGACAGATACGTCTCAGGGCATTTAGACAAACTTCCTGTTCTAACTGTATGGCTCAGTGATTTCATTAGAGATTTGGGCCTCAGGAAGGATGCAGGGTCAAGCTGCCCTTACTGTGGCACCCAAACTCCCCCTTCCCTCGCTGACTGTGGTCATGCAGATGTTGCAGTCTAGGTCTAATCTGGGCCTGTTAGCAGGGGCAGATGACCGTTTTGTGGGGCCCCGGGCAGCATAATTCTGCAGGGCCCCCCCTTTTGAACCTCTATAATTGGGCCTTAACTGATCCCGAACAAGGGAATTTATTGGATAGGGGGAGGGTAATGCTGGCTCCCGTGCTGCCACAGAATGGAGGCAAAGAACATGGTTTGATTCAAAGAAGGATGAGAGAGTTAGAAGGCTAAGACACTGGTCCAGCAGAAACGTGTGTTTAATATTGCTCATGTGAATAGTTCTTTACTGCGTAGAGTTTAATGATGGAAGGGTCATTTAATCACAGGCTATTTACATTTCATCAAATTATCCTCTTACTGAGCCCAAAACCTTGTGTTTAACTAAAGCACATCTTGTGGAATAAGGATGGGCAAAACACAGCACATGGGACAGATCTGGCCTATCTAGCATTTCTGTCCGGCTTGTCACGACCCCTGGCAATTGCAACTCTGGAGCCACATGTGGTTCTTTGGCTGCCGCTTCAATTACAGGACTTTTAGTAACCTGGAGGTACAGTGAGGCACTCAAGCAGCCTGCCTGGAAGAAGGATAGTAGCAAAATATACACTTTGGACTTCAGAAAAGCACATTTTGACTTCCTCAGAAAACTAATGGGCAGAATTCTCTGGGATGCTTACATGAAGGGGAAAGGAGTCCAGGAGAGCTGGCAGTATTTTAAAGAAGCCTTATTGAAGGCACAGAAAGAAACCATCCAGATGCGCAGTAAGAAAAGTAATATGGTAGGCGACCAGATTGGCCTAACGGGGAAATCTTTGAGATTAAACACAAAATAGAAGTTTACAAGAAGTGGAAACTTGGCCAGATGACTAGGGAGGAGTATAAATATATTGCTCTAGAACGCAGGAGAGTTATCAGGAAGGCAAAAGCGCAACCGGAACTGCAGCTAGCAGAGATGTGAAGAGTAACAAGAGGCATGTTAACAATAGGAGGGTGATGGGAGAGTGTGTGGGGCCCTTACTGGATGATGGAGGTAACCTAGTGACAGATGTAGAAAAGCTGAAGTACTCGATGCTTTCTTTGCCAGCCTTCACAGACAGGGTCGGCTCCCAGACGAATGCACTAGGCAACACAGCATGAGAAGGAGGTGGACAGCCCTTGGTGGGGAAAGAACAGGTTAGGAACTATTGAGAAGCTAAATATACACAAATCCATGGGTACAGATTGAATGCATCCGAGGGTTCTGAGGGAGTTGGCAAGTGTCATTGCGGAACCTTTGACCATTACCTTTGAAAACTTGTGGAGATCAGGAGAGATCCCGAACGATTGGAAAAAGGCAAATGTAGTGCCCATCTTCTAAAAAAGGGAAGGACAGGGAACTACAGACCAGTCAGCCTTTCCTCAGTCCCTGGAAAAATCATGGAGGGGATCCTCAAGGAATCCATTTTGAAGCACTTGGAAGAGGGGAAAGTGATCAGGAATAGTCACTGTGGATTCATGAAGGGCAAGTCATGCCTGACCAATCTGATTAGCTTCTATGATGAGGTAATTGGCTCTGTGGATATGGGGGAGTCAGTGGATGTGATATACCTTGACTTTATATCACAAGGTATACACAAGGTACACCAAGGGGCAGTGCTACCAGACTAACCAGGCAGCTCCCCAGCTGCTCTGCCACAGGTGTCCCCAATTAAGCTGCTGCTGAAACTGACCAGCAGCGGCTGAATTGGGGACACCTGGGACAGAGCTGGACTATCAGAAGGGGGGCTATGAGGGGTCTGAGGTGGCATCCCCCACACCACCCTATACCTCTCATAGCCCCCCTTCTGATAGTCCGGCATATCTAATAATCCGGCACCCCTTGGGTCCTAAAGGTGCCAGATTATTGGGAGTTTACTGTAATGACCTTTTTAGTACTTGAACTGTTGTGTGCTCTTGTCTCTTAGATTAAACAAACTCAATTATTTCATTCTTCTCTCCGTAGGTTGTTTTCTAAAGCTTTAATAATTTTTGTTGCTTTTCTCTGGACCTTCTCCAGTTTGTCCACAGCTTTCTTGAAACGAGGCACCCAGAACTGGATAAAACACTCCAGTCAAGGCCTAATCAGCACAATATTGAGTGGAACAATTACTGCTCATGTTTTGCACTCATCCCAGAGTGAAGTTCAGTTTTAATATAATATGATGCTTCCACAACACTGTCATGCTGACTCATATTTAGCTTGCAGTCCACTATGACCCCAAAATTCCTTTTTGCGACTTCTTGAAATGAGTGTGCCTGGGAGTGAGATCATGTTAATTAGCAGATAGTTACCTAGGTCACTGTGTTTGCCCCTTTTTTGAATACTGGCATGACACCAGTGCTTTTCCATTCTTTTGAATGGTACTTTACTAATTATTTGGCCAACCATTTAGGTTGAGTGCAAATTATCCCCAAGCTTTTGATTTAACAATGTGCATTCCTAGTGCTCCTTAATTACTAATAGACATTAAAGTACTTCATCCTGCTCACATGATGAGGTGAGATTTCATGCTGCTTTCCAAATACAAAACAGAAATAGTACCATCATTTAGCAAATATAACCACGGGTTATATTTGTTTTTATAAACCCCGTGCATGGGCTATAGTTGTGTGCAGGTTATATAGTGGGTTTTGGTTTGTGGGGGGTGTTGTGGTTGTTTTTTACTGAAATAGCAGAGGATCCCCTCCCTGCCCCCCCCCCCCCCCGTTTGCTGGGCTGGGGTTAGGCTCCCAGCCCACGACCGAACAACGTGGGGAAACTTACAAGGGGCAGAGCAGCCAGGAACGCTCTGGGGCAGGGACAGAGGCATCCCCAGCAGAGGCACAAGGTGGGAGGCTACCAGTCTGAGCTGACAAAGGGAAGGAGCCTGGAGCAAGTTGCAGGCACAGGGCGCGGCAGCAGCGGGAGTCCGCAGGCGGCCACGGCTCTCAGAAGCAGGGCTGGGACATGGTGCTTGTTGCTCCTGTGTGTTCCAGACAGGTGCCCTCCCTTGCCTGCAGATGCCACATGCTGAGCAGCCAGGAACGCTCTGGGGCAGGGACAGAGGCATCCCCAGCAGAGGCACAAGGTGGGAGGCTACCAGTCTGAGCTGACAAAGGGAAGGAGCCTGGAGCAAGTTGCAGGCACAGGGCGCGGCAGCAGCGGGAGTCCGCAGGCGGCCACGGCTCTCAGAAGCAGGGCTGGGACATGGTGCTTGTTGCTCCTGTGTGTTCCAGACAGGTGCCCTCCCTTGCCTGCAGATGCCACATGCTGTACCTGCTGTGCACTCGCTTGTTGCTTCTGGGACGTGGCATAGTTCAGGGCAGCAGGCCCGCCTGCTCTGGGCTCCTTGCCTTTGTCAGCCCAGGTTAGGAGCCTTGCACCTTTGCTGGGGATGCCTTTGCCCCAGCTCCAGAGCATTCCCGGCTGCTTATTAGTTTCCCCGTGTTGAATCGTGGCCTGGAAGCCTAACCCCCTGCACCATAAATATACCCCCTGCACAGTCTTGTATACCCCACAGGTTATACTCGTGCATGGGGTATGCAAGGTGTTTTTTTTTTTTTTTCCTGAAATAGGAAAAAAAAACTGCAGGGTATATTTGGGTGCGGGGTATATTTGCTAAATTACGGTAGCTGAACACTTCTGCCATTCCTGCATCATAACTAAATATTTTACCTGCTCCATTTATTAACAGGTTTTTACCATTACATAGTGTGATATTTTCAGTCTATCACCCCTGCCCTCTAATGAGGTACTCTTTACAGTGTTTTGCTGTGGTAGCCTCCCTTTTGGATTGCCCCCAAACAGCCTCCAGCATGCAAGCCATTCCCAATTAAGTCTAAGTGTTGGCAGCAGCCAGTCATGCATTGATCTCACCAGCCTTAATTATACTGTGGCATTGTGGACATAGTCCTAGTCTTAAGGGTTTTTGGCTCTGAGAAATGTCCTGTATTGCTCAGCATTCTCTTCAATAATACAAATTCTTAATATGGACTGTACTTTAGGGGTGGGCAATTTTTGGTTGGATGCCACGCCAAGATTTTGGAGTGCTTAAGGGGCACACTTTTCTGTGGAGGAAGTGTGAGGTCTAGGGTAGAGGTTGGGTGCAGGAGACTGAGATCTGAGAGGGAGTTTGGGTGGGGAACGGGACTGTGACCTGGGTCAGGGGATTGGGGTATAGGGTCATGGAAGGAGAATGGGTACACATTTTTTTTTGCTTGGGGGAAGGGATGCAGAGTCTGGGAGGGAGTTGTGGCTTGGGGCAAGAGGTCCAGAGGGTTTGGATGGTGGCCTGGGGGAAGGAGTTGGGATGCAGGAGGGGGGCTATTGGTGCCAGAGGCAAGCTCTGACTAGGAAGCACTTACTTAAGACTGCAACACCCCCAAGGCAGGCTGGCCTGCCTGCATGCTGCAGACCCAGATGATGTTAAACTGAAGGTTGCTTCCTTTAGTGGCTCTCAGCTCCTGGAAGGAAAAGAGGCTTGTGCTGCCCCCATCCCCCAGGCCAGTCTCTCAGCTCCTATTGGTTGATTGTATCCAGTTAATAGGAGCTGAGAAATTGGCTGGGCTCACTTTCTTGAGCCATGGTATCAAACATACTAGCCACATGTGGCTATTTAGCCAGCTGAGTGTGACTAGTTGGTGTGAAGTATTTGGCTGGTTGTGTAGCTAGTTGGCTATACCAGTAGCTACTGCTTCATAACTGGCTGGATCCCACAGCTCTAGAGTGTAGAGGTGGATGCATTGTAAGCCACTACCATTTCTTTTGCTCCTAATGAACTTTAAAACCTCCTCTCTATTGTCTGTAAGCATGCCAGTTGTGACTTTTGCGCTGATATCTTTAGCTCCATATCAACTTTTACTTTTCATAATTTCTAACTTATGCCATCTATAATTTTTTCCATGTATTACTGCTTTATGTTTGCAGTTGCTGCCCATTGAGGTCAATGGGTCTCCTCACATGAATATAGCTATTAGGGATGTGAATGGATAACTGGTTAATGGGTGGGGCTGAAGCAGCTCGTTGCCCACCGTGGACAGAGTGCTGCTCCAGCTCTGTGGGGCCTGCTGCAGGCAGGGGCTGTTGCAGCCCAGCTGGAGAAGTCCCTCTCTTCAGCAGTCCTGGTTCTGCTCTGGTGTGGGCAGGGGCACACAGTCCACCCATGGCTGGGAGCCACTCCAACCCATCTGCTATCCCTTTTATTGGTTAATCAGTTAACAATTAGGGATGTAATATCTAATTTATGCATATGAGTTTTTGGAATCTGGGCCTTAATATGTACAGTATGAATATTTGTGCTTATAATAAATCTGTAAGGGGATTTTAATTCTCACTTGAGGATATAAGGCAACCACTGTCCGTGTGGTATTAGGAAGCATCATCCCTCTTCCATTTCACCTCACTTCTGTGGGGCATATTACAAAAATATCCATAATGTGTGTTTAAACTTTCCTCTGTAGCCTTTGGAGCTGACCTGATATATGGGACAGATACTGAACTCAAAGACAACTAGCTTTGATTTTTTTCCATGGTTTTTGCTGTGACGGGAGTGCAAGTTCACACATCCTCTTTTCTCTTTTTCCCATTAGGATAATGAGGTAACGCTTATTAGTCTTTTCTCTTCTAGGAAAACGATGTGTAGCACTAGAAATAGAAAATGGCAGAGTTGATGTCACTGATATCCAGTTTGGTGCAACCGCAAACTTCTCTTGTGATCCAGGGTGAGTGATTTCTTCTTTTGACCTAGACTGGTGCAAAACTGCTGGTGAAGTGACAAAATGAGATGGGAGCCTGTATTAATTTCAAGAATGTAAGTAAGTGCTATGCTACAAGTCTGTACTACTCTTGAAAAAAAATCGTAGCTAATGAGAGAGCCAGACAGCCCTCTATCATTGAGTGGGAGATAGGAAACTAACTTGCTCAAGCTCCTTTGAAATATCAGCCGAGAGTCCTCTGGAGATGCTCTAGCAGATGTTGGGTCGTGAGAGTCCCACATCGAGGATATTGTGGACTCACTGACTCATACCATCTCTTGTTATAGTGGTTTCTATCTGGATTCTGGGAGCTAGTTGCAGAACATTGCCTGTAAATTGCTGCACTAGATAGAAGCAGACCTCTTCCTTTTATTTGTGTCTGTCTTGCAGTTATCTAGTATTACCTGGGATAGCATTGAATGCAGTGCTTGTTTTTCAGTCAGGGTTCTGTTGACAAGCCTTGGGGAATCAAAGCTTGTTTTCATTGCACTGAGCAGGTGTTCATTGGATTTTGAGGCCTCATAGAGTTTAAGGTCAAAAGGGACCACCAAGTTATCCAGTCTAACATCTCTACAAGATGTCAAGGTTTAAACAGTTTCCCACTAAGCATTGCCTTACTGCCATACTTACCAGATTAATTGGTGCCTCACCTAGCTGGATCAGTCTCCTGTGCACAGGATGCTGCAGCCAAGCTGGACCCACTGTGGGTGGAGGGATGCTCCAGTGCTCCGCAGCCGGTGAGATGAACTGGTTAACATTTTACATGGGGTATTAGATGTCTATCCTCTTGTTTATCACAGGCCTCCAACACTGCTGTGGGAGTCGCATGCTAAACTCCCCATCAAAATCAGTCCAAAATATTACAGACCTCAGGAGATCAGACCATAAAGATGGCATGGGCTGAGAATAGGAGGGGCTGAGGTACACAAATTTCTCAGGTCCCTATTATGGCAGGGAAATGTTCAAGTGAGGTATTGATAGAATCCTGGCAAGTGACTGTAGTCTTGTGCTACAGCAAAAGGCAAATCTTCCCCTCCACCCCCCTCCCCACATCACTGACAATCTCACTGAAGGGAGGGATTTCTCACCAATCCCACATTAGACCCTGAGGGAGAAATCCACAGGCCAGGCACTGAAGTGAGAGTGCTTGGTATCATCATAGAGTCCTGGCTCACCCCATTCCATAGCCTTTCTTCAGCCATGGCCATCCCATGTGGTATAAAGGAAGAAACCCAGAATACATTGGGTAATAGTGAGGAATCCCTTCCTGTCTGTTGCAGGTGACTGGCGGAGAGCCTGAACTATGAGCCTTTATGAACATCATAAACACATGGTAGGGCTCAGTAACCCTGGGATAATAGGCAATCATGGCATCAATTGTTCTCAAACTTCTCCAGCTTGCTTGCACTTTGTCTTGTACTGAACTCGTTGCCCTCACAACTGCTGTTGGGTGACCCTAAACTTCTCCCCTCTTGTAATTAGAATCCTTATTTACAGCATCAAGCTGTTCTGGCTGGTTTTTATCCTTTGTTTTTGTGGCAGCATTGTTCTTAGCATGGAGGGCAATGAGCTCTTTAAACTAACTGAATGGATTGGGTTGCACGGGCACAGATTATGTGAATGTAATTATGATGTAGAGCTCTGTTTTTCTGTATCCCAACTTGAGGTGTCTTGTCCAAACAACACAAATTGGACTCCCAAGGGGTGTTTAGGGTGGAGGCAGATGTCAAGGCCAAGTCCCAGTTAAACTTGGAGTGGTGAGGTAACTCTGGAGCAAGACTGGGTCTTCATCTTCACAAAGGTGGGAGTTAAATCCCTTATTCCATAGGTTGGCCATCATCCCACCTTGTAGGTGAACTAGTGTTGATCCACAGATATGTCTGAGCTCTTGTTGAAGGATTTGGAGGCTCTGTTTCAAGAGCAGTGGTTAGATGGTAGATAGTGAAGCTTCTTGAATTTTGAATATGGGATAGGGAGGTGGGAAATGGGAGACAGCTCAGGGTATCTGTCTTGTTTCCCATTACTGTTGTCCACAGGTTGCCTTTTTACAAACCATCGGCAGCTTGCCCAGTCAATCTCTTGCCTCTCTGTTGCCTACCTTCAGGGGAGACACAACTCCTCATTGTTTTTGCAGTTAAATATATAGATGACTAACACAGCTAAACTCAGACCTTTTTCAATGGCTTGTCTCCACCTATTGGCTAAAAGAAAACCTCTCTTTCTAGCCTGTTAACTACAGGATGGACCTCTCTGGTCCCTTAGGACCTGACTGGTGCCAAACCAGAGAATTTGCCAAACCACAAGAGTTCAATATTGTCTAGCAGCATTACCAACACTTCCATTGCTTTCTGGGCTCTTAGACTTTTAGAGCTAAATAACAGCACAGAACACTGAAAACCAGAATGGGTGCTGTAAACACTCTTTATGGGACAGCAAAAAACTTGGTGTTACCTATGATAAGTGGACTTCTGGCTAACTGATGACATGCTGGACCATGGATGTTGCCGGACTAGAGTTCCTGTAGTTCTTTGCTTGCTTGAGTAACAAACTTGAACCCTTTTTCTTTAGCCATAGATTAATTGGACCAAATTCTGTCAAGTGTGTGCTTCTGCTGGACGGTACAGTTGATTGGGACAAGAGGTCTCCAATTTGCCAAGGTAAACTAACCCTAATGGTTTCAAGAATAGTTCACATCAGGAAATAGCAGCATAGCTGGTGAGACAAGAGTCAATCTGTTCTTAGAGGAGGCTTTGGAACAAATTGGTAAACTAAACAGTAACAAGTCACTGGGACCAGATGGCATTCAACCAAGAGTTCTGAAAACTCAAATGTGAAACTGTAGAAAAACTAATTGCAGTTTGTAGCCTATCCTTTAAATCATCTTCTGTACCAAATGACAGGATACCTAATGTAATGTCAGCCTTTATGATGTCAGCCTTTAAAAAGGGATATAGAGATGATCCTGGCAACTATAGGCCAGTAAATCTGACATCAGTATTAGGCAAATTAGTTGAAAATATAGTAAACATCAGAATTGTCAGACACATAGATGAACATAATTTGTTGATGGGAAGGGGCATTAACATGGCTTTTGTAAAAGGAAATCCTGCTTCACTTATACACTATATTCACTGAATCTCTCTTGTCCACATGCTTGTTGACTCCCTCAAAGAATTCTAATTTATGTGGATTTCCAGACAGCCTGTAACAGTCTTTTACCAAAGTCTTATAAGTAAAGCAACCTGTCGTGTGATAAGAGGAAGGGTCATCTCATGGATTGATAACTAGATAAGATAGGAATAAATGGTTCATTTTCAGAATGGAGGGAGGTAAATAGTGGCTTCCCACGTGGGTACATACTGGGACAATCCTGTTAAACATATTCATAAATGATTTGGAGACGGGAGTAAACAGTGAGGTGGCAAAAGCTGCCGATGATACCAAACTGATCAAGATAGTGATGTCCAAAATCTACTGCGAAGAGCTTCAAAAGGATCTAACAAAACTAGGTGACTGGGCAACAAAATGGCAGATGAACTTTAATGCTTAAGTGCAAAGTAATGCATACTGAAAACATAATCCCAGCTATACATCCAAAATGATAGGGTCTAAATTAGCTACAGGCTGTCCTCACTAAATCCAATGTACGTTACAAAAAACTTGGACTTGTAACAAAACAACTTAAAGCAGAGTTTTTTTTCCTCTTCTCATGGCTGACTTCCATTTGCGCAATCTTTTTTTTGCAACTTAAGAATGGGGAACAGGAGGACTTGTAATGCATCAGTTCCTACAAACATCAATGACTTCAGTGCAGGACAGATGTCTACCAGAGCAACTTATAGCGGGGATTATCTGTATTGCCGTTTGAGAGAGATCTTGGATCATTATGGATAGTCATCCACGCAACATGCAGCAGCAAACAATATTAGGAATAATTTGTAAAGTGATAGAGTATCTTATTGCCTTTATAAAATCCCTGGTACACCCACATCTTGAAGACTGAAAACAGATGTGGTTTCCTCATCTGAAAAAGCATGTTGGCATTGGAAAAAATTCAGTAAAGGGCAACAAAAATGAGTAAGGGTTTGGAAGGGCTGTCATGAGGAGAGACTTTAAAAGACAGGGACTTTTGATCTTTGAGGAAACTAAGGGGGAATATGATAGTCTATACAATCCTGACTGTTGTGGAGAGAGTCAATAAAGAAGTTATTTGCTTGTTGCTGTAATGCAGAACTAGGGGGGGGTCACTAAATGAAATACATAGCAGGTTTAAAACATACAAAAGGAAGCCTTTCTTCATGTGCTGCACAGTCAACCCATAGAACTCCTTGCCCCAGAAGAAGTTGTGAAGACCAAGACTTTAACAGTGTTCAAAAAAAGAACTAGATAAATGCATGGAGGATAGATCCATCAATATTTATTAGCCAGAATGGGTAGGAATAGTGTCCCTAGGCTGTTTGTCAGAAGCTGGGAATGCATGAAAGGGGAGGGTTCATGAGATTTTTCACGTGTTCTGTTCATTCCCTCTGGGGTACCTGGCATTTGCCACTCTCAGAAGATAGGTTCCTGAGCTAGATGGACTTTTGGTCTGACCCAATATTGGCATTCTTGTGTGTTTAATTCAAATGACAGTAAAATTTGTGTTTGGTTGGGGAAAGGAATTTAATCATACTGTAGTCTGCCATGGTGTTTGGATGACTTCTACAAAATCAACCTTTTTAAAAAATCCTCATTAAATTGTTCATCTGGCACTGTTTAATGTATATACTCCAACAAGCCTCTTGGCATGTTTTCAGTTATATCTACATAATCCCAGTTCTTGAGTTAAAAAGCAAGCTAATGACTCGAAGTCTTGACCTTTCCCAAACCAGCCTATTCACTTAATCTAAGACTGTCTTGGAGTGAATCACAATTTCCCTCTACCTTAACATGATCTTTTTAATGCATTCTGGACGTAGTCTGTGCCTTATGCTACCAATGTCCGCTCTAGAAGCTGCTGCTACAAGACCTGTCCTAGCTTTAGTTTTTTGCTTCTGGAACAATTATTCCTCTAGAGGTGTCAAGCAAGAAGTTCTGGCTCCCTGCAGCTAACTCTGGAAAGAGTCACACTCTGTTAAGATCATCCCTTCCCACACCATGTCCAGAACTGGTGTTTTTATGAAGCATCCTCCTTGAGCAAGGGACATACTGGGTTGGAGCAAGCCTAAAAGCAGAAAACCACCAGAATCTGAAATGTTAATGCAATTCTAAATAAACTTTCAAATGGTTAAATAGCTTTGGGAGGCTACGAGGCAAATTTCTTAATGTGAAATCTCTTCATTTCATCTGCAATATAAACTTGAATTTCCATGTTGACATTCTTTGCTTCAGCAATACCTTGCGTCCCACCTCCTGATATTGCCAATGGTTCATATGCTCCTCTGAATGAAGAGTATGCTTATGGCTCAGCAGTAACTTACAGCTGTAACAAGGACTTCTCTCTCATTGGAGAGCGTTCCATTCATTGTACAACGAACGATCAAGTCAATGGAGAGTGGAGTAGGCTGGCCCCTGAATGCAAAGGTTAGTGGTATCTGTTTTTATCCTCTCCTTATTTTACCATCTCCTCCCAGTAAACTTAAATTTTGCAATCCAAATAATCTCAAACCAGAGGAAATTCAGTTAGTGCTTAGACCCCCTCCCCCCCATACCATTCACGAAAACTGGCTGCAATTTGTAACATAATCTCTAAAGTAGGGCTATTCAACACGTGGCCCATGGGCCACATGCGGCCCATTTGTTTGCAGCCCACAATATGGTTTGGTCCACGCGGAGCTCACCACGCAGCCGGCGGGTGGGATCCTTTGAACACAGCCTCCACTGAAAACACTCTTCACAAAGGCAAGGCATGTCCCTAGTGGGATGAACACTGAAAGATGGAAGTGGACGGGTTGGCTGGAACAGACAGGTACAGGATGTTGGCATTTCTAGCTCCCAGGAGCTACGGGGCATTGTGTGAAAAGCTATTTGCATGTATATGCAACCACACTTAAGTTGCAGCCCTCGGCATGTGTTGAGTAGCATTGTGGCCCCCTGGGTTTCCAAAGTCGAGTAGCCCTGCTGTAAAGAATATCTAACTTATTTTTTTGATAAATGATTCCTGGAAATATTTTTGCCTCTAATATCGTGTAGTTTTGTCTCCCTTCAATGTTTCAAGACTGCCGTTAAGTCTCCTGTCTCAAACAGTTGACCTTTTTTTTTTAAGGTGGAGACACTCTAAAAGAAAGGTTATAGTTTTATGTCTGTACTCTATTCAGTGCTAAAATGGGGGGAGAGAGCCTAACAAACAGGATTCTTTGACAACCATTTTTTAGATTTTTTTGGGAGGGCTTCTTGGCAGAGAAGGTTTATGCTTTTTGAGAGTTCATATCACAGCCATAAAGTTCTTGGGAGGAGGAAATGAAGGTAATATTACAATCCTCATTTTGGTGATTGCAGTGGAGTGTTGATGAGCACTATTGCATTTAGCTAATAATACTTTTACGTACTTGGTGTTCAAGCAGCTACCAGTGGGTTGCCCAGTCTAACCTCTGGGATTATGAGGGTTTTGCAGAGACATGAAGCACGTTGTTTACCTCACTGCTTGATATGCCCCTTTGACCCCTCCCACCCTTCCAAAAAAGCAGGGAAGTTCAGTTCCAGAGTTTTATTGCAAGTCAATCTTACAGCAGGGCTGGGCAAAATACAGGTCAGGTGGCTGAATCCAGCCCACAGACCATGGTCAGGCATGCAGCTGCCGCATTTTTTTTTAAGTGCAGGCCATGCTGCTCTCTGCTCTGCAGGCAGGTGGAAGGCCTTGAGTGATTTTCCCACCCCAAGCCCAATCCTCAGCTCTTGTTGGCTGGAAACAACTAGCTAATAGGAGCTGCGAGATTGGCCTGGGGGGTATGGGTAATGCAAGCCTCTTCCCTCCATGTGGCTCTCAGCTCCTGGAGAGGGAACAGCCTGTAGTTTGAAGCAGTCTGGGGCTACGGAAGGCAGGGAGACAAGCCTGCCAAGGGGGAACTGCTGGCCAGGAGACACTTAGGTAAGCGCCTCCCAGCCAGAGCCTGCCCCTCCTGCACCCCCTCTCCCTCCCCTAGGTGACCATCTAAACCCCCCTGTACCCTTCTTACCCTCCCTCCCAGAACCTGCATCCCATTCCCCTGCTCCAGGTCACCACCCAAACCTTCTGCAGTGTGTGGGGTCCTAAAAGCCTTCCCTCAGGCTAGAATCCTCTCTTGGACCTATACACCCTCCCTGACACTGCACCCCAATCCTCTGACCCAGGTCACAACCCCCCCTTCAACCAAATTCCCCCTCAGATCTCACACTGTCTCCTTCATCCCAGTCCCTTGCGCCCATCTGCACCCTACCGCCATCCTTGACCCTACACCACCTCCACAGAAAAGAGTGGCCCTTGACCACTTTACAAAATCTTGGAGTGACCCCTTCCCCCACCAAAAATTATTGCCCACCACTGTTAGCATGTGCACAGCATGTCCCAAATTCCAGATGGCTTCATACAATGATGATTAACTCACACAATATACTGCGATATGACAGGGCAGAGTCCTGATACCTATACAGTTGGGTGCTGTGCTATATACACAGTCGAGTATCAGGGCTTTTTTTTTTTTTTTTTTTTTTTTTTTTCCTTCTATCTTCTCTGAATGCTTCCTGCAGAAAATATTCTTAGACTGGTATTTTTTTAACTTTCAGTGGTCAAGTGTCTAGAGCCAATAATTGAAAATGGAGAAAAGCAATCTGGATTTGACTTTAAGTATTCATATGGACACACTGTCATATTTGAATGCCATTTGGGCTTTACTCTGCATGGTAACAGTTCCGTTAAATGTGAAGCTAACAGTTCATGGGTTCCATCTTTGCCAACCTGCGTCCGTAAGTATAAGCAGTTGTATAGAGCTTTTGTGCTGGTGTTTAGAAAACGTATTGCTTTTAAGTAGCCATATTAGAAGGTCAAATCTGTGTCCCCTTTTTTGTCATAGGCATCGCACAAACTACACCTACACCTTCCTCTCCAGAAGGAACAAAATATACTTCTGGTGAGTTGCAGGAACTTTTGCTAAATATCTCTAAGATTTAAGTAACTGTATAGTTTCTAGAAGACTGAAAATTGGTGTGACCTTCACAAACAGTATTTCCTATCCAAGTTCTAGAGTTCAGTCATTCACCATTGGTCATATAAGCAATATTTTATCTCTCCGGTTTTAGAGCGCTACATATTTCTTAGTCACCCTTGGGTGCAGCCTCGGATTGTGATCCCTGTGTCCCCTCAGCTCTCCAGCTTGGGCTGTGTCTCACTATGCTTTGCAAGTGATGAGTAGCAAACACTTTCAGGAGCTGTGATCACTCACCACAATCGCGTGTGGAGCCTCACACACAGCTAGATTGCATGCATGCTCCCAGAGCCACTCATGAAATCCACAGACTGGCACTAGCCAAATCCTCCCCCACACCCACTCTCAGTGCTGTACCCCAAGGAATATACCATCTTGACCTGCTGAAGTGCAGATGTATTAATTGGCAAATCACTCTTATCAATGAGAGGTGGATATACACCAGCCTTTCTAAAACCCTTGAGTAAATTTACCAGGCACTTCATGCAAACTCACTGATAAAGATGAACAGCCTAACTCAACCTTTTTCTCACCCCACTGGATGTAGCATCCTTTATATGTAGGTCTGTCCCTTAAACCTGGGTCAGCCTCCTCTGTTGCAATCTTCACTTTTCACAGTGCCCTTGTTGCTTATCTCCTGCTCCCACTTATAAGCCAAGTATGATAACCATTTTCAGGTATCTAAAAGGATGTCATGAGGAGGAGGGAGAAAACTTGGCCTCTGAGGATAGAACAAGAAGCAATGGGCTTAAACTGCAGCAAGGGAGGTTTAGGTTGGACATTAGGAAAAAGTTCCTGACTGTCAGGGTGGTTAAACTCTAATACGTTGCCATGGGAGGTTGTGGAATCTCCATCTCTGGAGATATTTAAGAGCAGGCTGGTTAGACATACATCATGGATGGTGCTGGGTCCTGCCATGAAGGCAGGGGACTGGACTTGCTGACCTCTCAAGCTCCCTTCCAGTTTGTGTTGTATGATTTTAAGTTTCTGACCAGTGGTAATATATCTACTTCCATCAGACAGCTTATTACCCTGTTACTTCCCTATGTAATTTCCCAAGCTTCGCAGTCACAAAGATGCAGACAATGTAGATTTTTGACTTGCTTTTTATTTGGATAAGACTCCACATCTGGGTGCATAAGCAGAAAGGATGAAAGGGTTTGCAGTTTCAAGCTCAACTACTCTGAACTCGGTTGCGACCTACATATTGATGTTAGGATGTGGCTGAAGCTATACCACCTTCCAAGGTGTTCAGTGCACTCAATAAGCACAGAGCATCCCTATGTTGGACATGTGCAGAGTTGCTCCTTGTTTCGGAGTTCATAAGCTCATTACACATTGCCATCATGACATTTTTGGGAAAATGATGTAGGCTCGTGGAAGGTGGCTTCTACAATCCCTCTTTAAATAGACTGAGCCCTTCCTCCATCATATACTGACTGGAATTACTAACAAAACTCTCTGGGTAGAGTACATGAGACATGGAATAAACATGTGCAGTGCATCTCAATTACAGCACAGATGAGAAACCATTTTCCCAAATACGCTCCCTCCCCCCCCCCCCAAATGCATGAACTCTCAAACTACGAGCTGTTTAGGAGGCTGACTGTCTTCATCACAGTAAATAATGAAACCAGCCTAAGGGAACATCCAAAAATAGTCTGAGTAGAGTTTAAAGACTAGCTGAAATTGCATTGGAAACTGTGGCTATAAGAAAAGAGTTGCCTATTACAGATGTGAATAAGTGCGGGTTTAATGGTTTTATTCCTAAGCAAGAACAAAGTGTGTGTATTTTAGCTTGACTAATACAGGGTAGCCACAACAAGTGGAGTGAAGCCATTGTTCATGGTTTGGTGTCACTCACTTTGTACTACCTACTGGATTCTCTCAACTATTTTTATGTGGCATCTCAGGATTGCTGGTAATGTACTTAAGCTTTTTTTTATTCTTTCAACTGTGCAATTAGAGTAAGTTAGTGACTCCAAAGATGATGCTGATTGAGTTCCTAAAACTATTGGTTTGTATTTTTCTTTATACAGAATCAACTACAAAACCCACTCAAGAAACCCCTAAAAATGCCACAGGTAAAAACCACTCTTAAAATCTTTCTAAACTTTGGTCCATTGGAAAGCATTCTTGCCTTTGTTTTGTTCCCTCGTTAGTCTGGGTAACTTAAGTGTCCCAAGATCAGCCTAAGAGACTGAGGTGTGGCTTTGCTTTTGAGTTTTATACCTGCTTGGCTTTCTTTATCTGAATGCAAAGTTGATGAAATGAGTGAGTAATAGACTCCAAGAATGATACATTTTCAGGAACTAGATAAGTGTCTGTCTGTTTCTTTTACAGCATCAGCTATAAAACCCACACAAGAAACCCCTAAAAATGCCACAGGTAAAAATACTCTTCACTTCGTAATGAACCAAAGTTTGGAAAGATTTTCTTGCCTTGATTCTGTTTTCATTAGTCTGGGTAACTTAAATGTCCCAAGATGAGCCTTAGATGGACTGAGGTGTGGCTTTGCTTTAGGATTTTATACTTGGTTGGCTTTCTTTGTTATCTAAATGCAAAGTTGATGGAACTAGTGAGTAATAGACGCCAAGGATGATGTGCATCTAGTCTAGAGTAGGCAATTTTTGGTGGGGTGTCACTCCAAAGATTTTGGGAAGTGGTCAAGGGGCATGCTTTTCTTTGGAGGGTGTGTAGGGTCTACAGTGGAAGTTGGGTATAGAAGGGCACATGGGTTAAGGGACTGGGATGCAGGATATGGTGTGAGATCTGAGGAGTTTCAGTGAAAGAGGAGGCTGTGACCTGGGTCACAGGATTGGGATGTAGGTACAGGAGAGGATTCTAGCCTTGAGGAGGGGTGTAGGAGGAGGTACAGTGTCTGGGAGGGAGTTGTGACCTGGGGCAGAGGTGTGCAGAGGGAGTTAGAGTACAGGAGGGGCTGGGGTGCTAGGGGCAGGCTTTGGCTGGAAGGTGCTTACCTCACATGTCGCGACCTGCGGTACCCCTAAGGCAAGCTGGGTTCCCTACCTGCTGCTGCTGCCACAGATTGCCTGAAAATGCAGACTGCTCCCTCCATGTGGTTCTCAGTTCCAGGAATGATGAGAGGCTTGCGTTTCCCTCATTCCAAAGGCCAATTTCTCATCTCCTATTGGCTCGTCTGACCAACAGGAGCTGAGAGATTGGTTGGGGCCAGTTCTTGTTGGACGGTTATTTCTGGCCATTAGGAGCTGAGGATGGGCTGTGGGTGGGGAGATCACACGAAGCCTCACCTCCCTCCAGAGAGGCACACACAGCACCCCGGCACTTAAGAATAGCTGCTTTATGCTTCATGGTCCTGGCAGGGGAGTCTGTGGACTGGGTCCAGTGACTTGGCAGGCCAAATTTTGCCCACCACTGATCTAGTTCTTGAAAATGTTTGTATATCTTTTCTTTGTACAGGATCAACTACAAAACCCACACAAGAAACCACTAAACATTCCACAGGTAAAAATACTCTTAAATTTCTCAACTTCCTTCTGAAAGAGTTAATTCTATAGCTTAATACTCAGTTTTGAGGTGATTGTATATTTGATGCTCTCCCTTGTGATCAGCACGAGGACTGTCCTTTTGGGCCTTTTAGCTATAACTTTTTTTTTTCTGGAAGCAACTCACATTGAGTGTCTCTCCAGCTTGGGAGATCTTGGGTTACAGCTCCTGTTTTACACAACGGTATCTGCATAGACTGTAGATGCAACTGTAGACCATAAACCATTTCAAGACCTCTTCTGTGACACAGTGGCTATGATCAACTTCACCTTTGAATCCATATTTGGGACACTGTTATGTCTTCAGTCGTTTGGATGGTCTCACCACAGTTGTATGAAAGTCTGTTTCCCAAGTAGCTGCTTCTCTGGCCACTTTGTTCAGGTGCAGTTCAGTATGGTCTAGAGCCGTGTTTCTCAGACTCTGCTCTGCAGAGCCCTGGGGCTCCATGAGACCTCTCCAGGGGCTTGGCAAGGTTGACAAACTGGAAACATCAATAGGTACAACAAATACAATCAGTGGATTGCTAGGGTGCCGCATAAATTTTTACACATGTAAACTGCTTCTCTGGCCACTTTGTTCAGGTGCAGTTCAGTATGGTCTAGAGCCGTGTTTCTCAGACTCTGCTCTGCAGAGCCCTGGGGCTCCATGAGACCTCTCCAGGGGCTTGGCAAGGTTGACAAACTGGAAACATCAATAGGTACAACAAATACAATCAGTGGATTGCTAGGGTGCCGCATAAATTTTTACACATGTAAAGGGCTCCGGAGCCCAAAAGTTTGAGAACTGCTTGTCTAGAATGTTTGTGGTGGATTTGAGACCATGAGGGTAGCTTGTTGGTCAGTGGTATTGTGCTTGTTAGGAATGGTAGATGAAATCCAGACACTTTGCTGTTCCCTGACTGGATTCAAAGATGTGAGGTGGTTGCTTATGGTCTACATTATATGTCAGGCATGCAGTATTTTGTCCATAGCCTGCTGGGTAGGAAGTTCTGGGTAGTCTGTGTTAAGTTCACGTGCAATGGCTGTATCTCAACAAATAGTTGAGGGTTCAATGTTTGCTAGTATAGAGAGCTGTGGTAGAGGGGTCCTATGATGATTCTCAGCCCATCCACAAGTTGTGGCAGCTTCTTGTACATACTGGTGCACAGCACTTTGCAACCAAGTTTTTCAGGGCCGATGCTGGTGTTGATAGCATCAGATCAGTTGATTCCCCAGCTTGTTCTTGCTGTATTTTGGACCATGTTGATGTCTTTGGAGGCTACTCTCTGTGGTAGGGTTTTGGAAGGCCAGTGTCTGGGCAAGAATGACATTGAGATGTTGACTTTGTGGTAAAACTAAGTTACAACCCAATCTGTACAGATTTTGTGCAATTCTATTAAGGGGGAAAGTAGATTCTCCTGAGTTGCTTCTTAGCTGTAACTTTCGGAAATATTTCTGCAGTAGCTTTAATGTGAAGTGGCCCTTACCTGTGTCTCATGCCCACAGCTGTCAAAGATGTATCAAATCAGTGTATACAAAGTGCAGTCATTTAATTCCCCTGCAATATACGGAGTATCCCAAGTGTCTAGCACCAGTGCTCAAGAACAGTGATAGCGGTCTACCAAAATCCAGTTGTTCCATCAGTCTTTTGCAGACCTACACAGATTTAAGTCCTTCCACCCTTTCAACATGTTTAAATCCTCCTTTTGGCTAATGTCACATCCATTTGTTGAACCAAAATGAAAGTCCCTACAAGTTCAAGATGTTCCTTTAACTTTTAAGCTCTTCCCTTTTTCATGCTACACTTTGAGATGTCTGTTCAGTTCACTTTGGGGGCATCTACACTGCACCCTTACCTCAAAATAAGCTACGCAATATGTTATGCAAATTGCGTGGCTATTTTGAAAAGCGCTATTCCGAAATGTCCTTGAACCCTCATGGAACGAAGGTTACAGGGACACCAGAATAGCATGCTTGTTTTGAAGTCTATTGAAGATGCAGAGTAGCTCTTTCGGAATACTGGAAATACCTCCGCAATGTAGACATAGCCTTTCCAAATTACAAAATGGTTAGGCTTCAGGTGGCTGATATTTTTGCTGTCATTGCCATAGAATCACAATAAAAATATGATTCTTCCCTACTCCCAAATAAGTACAAGTTGGCAGATGAGCGGGTGTCATAAATCACATGGGTACACATTGAGATGTTTACTGGTATCTAATCTTAACACTTCATCTCTAATGTCTTTTGCCAAAGATAAAAATCACAGAATACTAGGACTGGAAGGGACCTCGAGAGATCAAGTCCAGTCCCTTGCCCTCATGGCAGGACCAAATAGACATTTATCTACCCTACTCTTAAATATCTCCAGAGATGGGGATTCCACAACCTCCCTGGGCAATTTATTCTAGTGTTTGACCACCCTGACAGTTAGGAACTTTTTCCTAATGTCCAACCTAATCCTCCCTTGCTACTGTTTAAGCCCATTGCTTCATCTTGGCCTTTGAGGATAGAACAAGAACAAGTTTTCTCCCTTTTCCTTATGGCACCCTTTTAGATAGCTTAAAACTGCTATCATGTCCCCCCTCAATCTTCTCTTTTCTAAACTAAACAAACCCAATTCCTTCAGTCTTCCCTCATAGGTCGTGTTTTCTAGACCTTTAATCATTCTTGCTGCTCTTCTCTGGACCCTCTCCAGTTTCTCCACATCTCTCTTGAAATGTGGTGTCCAGAACTGGACACACTACTCTAATTGAGGCCTAACCAGTGCAGAGTAGAGGAATAATGACTTCTCCTGTCTTGCTCACAACACACCTGTACATGCAAAGAAAGCAAACATGATTCTGGGATGCATTAAGAGGTGTGTTGTGAGCAAGACACGAGAAGTCATTCTTCCGCTCTACTCTGTGTTAGTTAGGCCTCAGATGAAGTATTGTGTCCAGTTCTGGGCACATTTCAAGAAGGATGTGGAGAAATTGGAGAGGGTCCAGAGAAGAGCAACAAGAATGATTAAAGGTCTAGAGAACACGACCTATGAAGGAAGGCTGAAATAATTGGGTTTGTTTAGTTTAGAAAAGAGAAGATTGAGGGGGGACATGATAGCAGTTTTAAGCTATCTAAAAGGGTGCCATAAGGAAAAGGGAGAAAACTTGTTCTTGTTCTATCCTCAAAGGCCAAGATGAAGCAATGGGCTTAAACAGTAGCAAGGGAGGATTAGGTTGGACATTAGGAAAAAGTTCCTAACTGTCAGGGTGGTCAAACACTAGAATAAATTGCCCAGGGAGGTTGTGGAATCCCCATCTCTGGAGATATTTAAGAGTAGGAAGCGTACTTTCTATGCCAATATATAAATCGTTGATGAAGATATGAAACAGAGCCGGTCCCAAAACAGACCGCAGCGGAACCTCACTTGTATCTTTACAGCAGGATTGTGAACCATTAATAACTACTCTCCGAGTACAGTTATCCAGCCACTTATGCACCCACCTTATAGCAGCCCCCTCTAAGTTGTATTTGCCTAGTTTGATAAAAATATCATGCAAGACTGTATCAAATGACTTACTAAAGTCTAGGTATACCACATCCACCACTTCTCCCTAAGACTCATTATCCTATCAAAGAAAGCTATCAGATTGGTTTGACATGATTTGTTCTTTACAAATCCATGCTGGCTGTCCCCTATCACCTTGTGATTTTCCAAGTGTTTACAGAGGATTTTCTTAATTACTCCATTATCTTCCCTGGCGCACAAGTTAAACTGTGTGGTTTCCTGGATTGTTCGTGTTTCCCTTTTTATAAATGGGCATTGTATTTGCCCTTTTCCAGTCTTCTGGAATCTCTCCTGTCTCCCATGATTTTCCAAAGATGATAGCTAGAGGCTCAGATACCTGCAAGTCACCAGGGCCTGATCAAATGCATCCTATGATACTCAAGGAGCTGATAGAAAAGTTAGATACCTCCTCTAAGTGACTTTTGACTTGTTGTGACCCTGTAGTCTAGACACACCCCATGGTGTCTGAGCACCTCAATGCCCGGGGTGTGAGGCCGTGCTGTTCTTCCCATGGGGTAGATGGGGAATGGAGAGGCTCTCTCAAGTTCCAGACTTGCACCCTAACCCCTCCCTCAACAATGACCACTCCCTTGACAATAAGACTCCCACTGATGGTGACAGATGTCAGTTCAGACCCTTAATTCCCCTCCTCACCCCCCGCATCTCATTTCTGCATCTCTAAAAGGGGGGAGAGACGCTAACACTTCTTTTCTTTACCATTTGTCTCATCCAATCGGATTGCACATGGGTGGTACCTAGGAGGTGTGAGGAGGCTATGCCTGCCCAAATAAAACAGGCGGGCCACACAGGGAGCAAATGCTGGACTCAGGCCACCTCTCTTCAAAGGTGCACCAGCCTGCTGCCTTTGCTCCCTGGGATAACACCCAGAAGGAAGTTAGCCAATACATCTGGGAAGGACTCTTCAACCTAAGAGGCTTATCAAGAGGCTTAGCAAGGCTTAACTCACAATGGACCATGGAGAACACCCAGCTGCACTGAATGGACTTCCTTGTGAACATTCCACTGTTGTGACTAAGCAAAATTATGCCTGGACAAGGTGACTTGGCCATGCAACTCTGTTTTATATACCTGTAATTTTCTACCATAAGAACAATGGGATTCCCTCCACAGGACAGAAGCTATAATTGGCCCCAGGAACATTTCCATTTTGCCTTTCCCCTGCTCAAACCTCTGGACTATGGGCTTATTCTAACCAATGGACTGAGGACCTTCCAACGATTTGGTAGCAACCAAAGACTTGATATAAGCCAACATTGTATTCCAGCATTGCTACTTTATTTAGTTTCTTGCTTGCTTGCTTTCTGGCTGGCTTTCAGTTTTCTAGTTTGCTCAAGCCCAGCAACACAATACAAACCTCAAACGGTGAGCTTCTGGCTTGATTGACCCAACGGGAGTTTTGCCATTGACTTAAATGAGTCCAGGATTCATCTGAGGTGTCTGAAAGCCCAGCACACCAGAAGCAAGGTTTGCACAAACCATGAAAACGGTCTATGTCCATCTTCACCACACTCCAAGGGTACGTCTAGACTACATGCCTCTGTCGCCAGAGGCATGTAGATTAGGCTACCAGGCATAGGAAAATGAAGCAGCGATTTAAATAATCGCCGCTTCATTTAAATTTACATGGCTGCTGCGCTGGGATGAGGCATACCTGGGTGGTTGACAAATGCCTTTGATGTCAACACCTGCGTGTCCAGACTACTGCGCTGAGCCGACGAACAGCTGATCAGCTCAGCGCGGCAGCCATGTAAATTTAAATGAAGCGGCAATTATTTAAATCGCCGCTTCATTTTCCTATGCCTGGTAGCCTAATCTACATGCCTCTGGCGACAGAGGCATGTAGTCTAGACGTACCCCATGTGTGTTCATTACTAATGTATAAGGCTACACCTCCTCCCTCTTTTCCCTGTCCATCCTTCCTGAGCAAGCTGTATCCTTCCATACAAACATTCCAATCGTGTATTATCCCACCAAGTTTGTGATGCCAACAATGTCATAACTGTACTTACTTATTAGCACTTCTAGTTCTTCCTGCTTATTTCCCATACTTCTCACATTTGTATATAGGCATCTAAGATACTGATTTGACCTCGCCTTCCAGTTTTGCCCTGACCCTCCTTTCTCTCTGCCATTGTAGCCCACGCTCCCTCCCATTTCTGACCCATCTCCCAGGTCTCCCTCTCCACTTACCTGTGAGCTTTGGTCACCTGTCCCTGTCGAACCTAGTAAAAATGTGGCTGATCAGTGCAGAATTTGTCTAGTGTGTGGTAGCCATCTCAGTCCAAGAATATTAGCAATAAGTTGGGTGAGCTCCAAACTTTTATTGCTCCAGCTTCAGTTGGTGAGAGCTTGAAAGCTTGTTGCTTACCTAGAGCTGTTCATAGTGCAAAATTTGGCACATGATTCTGCAGATAACTGTGTGAGGGGGATCTCTGGGGGATGCAGAAGACTTCTACAAATAAAGCATTTATTTATAATATAGGAAACATTTAGAGGATTTGCCCTGTCACTTCTCAAATCTATTGTAATGTCTATTAAAATGTGCATAGAAATAGACTCTCCAGAAAAGCTTTCTGCCTTCTCTAGATTTTGGATTATCTATAGGTCAATCCTGGTGTTGAGTATACATTGTAACTTCATCATTTGCATGTTTATATTTATTTGAATCATTTAAATTTAATGTTAAAATCTGGGTTAAGGTGCTTAAATGTTGCACCAATATAAATTGGATTCCTATAGTTAGATGGCATTTGTATACCTTGACACTTCAGCTCACCCTGTATTTTTTTTTTTTCTTTCTAGGGATGAACACTGGTACCATAATCGCTATTGGTGAGTAACTTAATTTTAAAATTTATTTTTAAAATCCTCCCATGATGAAGTATGGGAGTTCCAAAGAAGCCTGTGGAACCCTATTGAGTGCTTAACTCATAGTCAGAAAGCTTTTCCTAATACCTGGCTTAGATCACCCTTGCTGCAAATTAAGCCGACCACTACTTTTCCTACCGTACAGTGTACACTGGAAACAATGGATTGCTGTCCTCTTTGTAACATGACACACTTGAATACTCTGATCAAAGGGTCTTCCCAAGATTACTGTCCATGAGTAAACCTCTGGTAGACTGTATCAATTTATCCTTTTATTAGCAATATTTCCCTAAGCCAAGCTGACTGCTGTGATTCTGTCCTAACTATTATAGTCAGTTTAATAGGATGTGGAAGTGGAAATTAAGAATCTTACCCCTAGAAGATGCACTTCTGTAGGTCTGTTTTGGATAAAGGTACTACTATAGACTGCATGTGTACCAACAAGAAAACACTATATGGGGAGTTGGCTGTGTAGGGTAACACTTTTACTGCTTTGCCTGTCTAGTTCCAGAGCTGGAGCTTCTCTCCATTTTTGAAGGGAGGGTTTAATTTTCTAATTCCCCCCCCCCCCCCCCCCCTTAATGTCTGACCAATTTCTTTTCAGAAGAATAATAGTTTGGCTCAAATGTTTGTGGGAAACAATCATATTAAAGCAGTTCTGGGAAACTCGTGTTTGAATAATCTTGGTATTGATGACGTTAGTGCAAGTGAATTTGAAAATTGTGAATTTTGCTGGATTTCACCAAAAATGTTAGAATCGAATGTCATCACCAGATTACTGTTTCCTTCTTTTCCATCAAGGAGTCGTCGGTATATTGGTGGCTGTTGGAATTGCTGCCATTGGGACATACAAAGCTTGCTTTGAGAAAAAGGGGTGAGCCAAAATAAGATACTGAAAATGTCTCGCTAATTCATCAGAGGAGTTTTCAGTTGCTTTCCTGCACTCCTTCATTTGTTGCGCGAGCTATATATTCTGAGGTTTTACTTGATTTTTACTCTTTATTAAATGTACCTGGATACCAGGAGAAAGCAAGGCCATGGCCCTCTAAAGTAGTACTTGTGTGCAACACTGAGGCAATAACACTTCCTAACTATGCAAAGAGATCTTCTAGAATTGTATTTCAAATTTTTATTAGAAGCAAAGCACAGAAGCTCTTAAGTGATTTAAATGAACTTTTTCCTCTGTGTAATACTACTTTGCTACTCCAGGAAAACTGAGTCTGCATTAGGAAAAACAAAACAATGTGCTGCTGAAAACCTTGTTTGTTTTTCAAACACCAGGGTACATCTGGTGGTGGACAACAAGCAGTATTAAATGCAGAACGTTTTAAAAAGCTGTCTTTTACGTCCGTCGCTTCGCAAAAATATTACAGGCAGTCCAACTTATGAACAGGTTATGTTCCGAACACCTGGTCGTAACTCAATTTGGTCGTAAGTCAGAAATACCCTTAAACGCACTGCCAGCGCAGTTTGAAAAACTTGACATACCTGGTTCTCAACTTGGAACTCTTACAATAGGTTTAATGGGAGGTTGGCTGTAAGTATGGTGGTTGTAAGTCGGTGTGTTCGTAAGTTGGGGAGTGGCTGTTGTCTAACTTCACCTTACACAAAGCAAAACTAACCCATACTTCATTTTCTGAATATACCCATGCCTCTGAAACTTAAGCCTCAATTCTGTCAGTGTTTCTGGTATGTGCTTAATGTTCATGCATATGATATCCCCTGTTGTCACAAGAGGGCGCTGTCATCCAGTTGATCAAGCTGTATCACAATATGTGCATTTGGTTCAACATTCACAGAACAAGAGTCTTCCACAGTATCTTTAATGAGTCTTATTGCATGCAATTCAGGAGCAGTTTTAAAAGCTCTATACGTACGTGTGTGTGTGTGTGTGTGTGTGTGTGTGTGTGTGTGTGTATTTAGTACTAAACAAATAAAACTGCATTAAAAGGCATCACAAGCATTAAAATCAATATTTAAATGGAATAATTTAACAAATTGAATTAAGAATTAGGCTGCTAAATTGGGTTAAGGATTAGATGTAGATTAACACTAGCTAGCTGGGTACAGTAGACTTCTGATAATCCGGCACCTTTTGGATTTAGGTGGTGCCGGATTATCAGATTTGCTGGAGAATCAGGAGGTCTGGTACAGCTGCAGGGCTTAACAGCTGGCCAGAACACAATCTCCCTCCCTCTCCCCTCCCCTTTCCTCTTAGCAGCTCCTCCTTGCTGTGTCCTGTTTCCCTTATTTGCTTTTTTGTTTCTCTGGATGGGTAGTTGTGATTTGTCCTTTTCATATTTGTTCATTTTTTTTAATTGTATCCTTTGGTATATATGGTTGTGACTACTTTCTTCCACTATTTGATCTGAGGAAGTGGGTCTGGCCCACGAAAGCTCATCATCTAATAAACCATCTTGTTAGTCTTTAAAGTGCTACATTGTCCTGCATTTTGCTTCTCTCCAACCTTATGCTCTCTCTGGTTACAGCCAGCAAGTGTGCTGAGCGGCAGGCTTTTTAATCAGCTGGTCAGGAGCACTAGGCATTTTAATGCCGGAGTATCAGGAGTGCCGAACAGTTGGATGCTGGACTACCAGAGTTTTTACTGAAATAGGATCTCTGAAGTAGTTTTGTTTTGTTTAACTTTTAGCTTTCCTTTTATTTTTGATGCCTCAACTCTTTTATTTTTTTAAGATGTTCACCAGTTATGTTGAAGTGCAGTATAATTCAAATTGTTAGCTATTAGACATTTATGCTTATTGTGACTATCTTATTTTTGGCATGGTCATCAAGCCTGATGCTTGTGGAAGGTAGTACTCAATTCTGAAGCCTATTGAAGTCTTTTTAATAATACAGGCAGTCCCCGGGTTACATGGATCCGACTTACAACCGGGGTGAGGCAACCCCGCACTAGCTGCTTCCCCCCCCAGCAGACCAGGGAGACGCGGAGCGCCTTTTCTCAGCAGACACCTCAGCTTGAGAATAAAGGACTAAGGGATGTGAGGTGTGGGAGAATAAAACTGAGCTCTGGAGAAATGTTTGGCTAGAGTACATATTGTAGGTGAAACCAGTTCCAACTTAGATACAAATTCAACTTAAGAACAAACCTACAAGTCCCTATCTTGTACGTAACCCGGAAACTGCCTGTATGTAGTGTTGGAGTTGCACAAAGAAAAGATACTTGCATTTAAAATGAGCCTATAGTTCCAGAGTAAAACAAATCCAATATTAAGAGAACTGGCAATAGGCTACATAGCACCATGATGCTTTTCTCTGGTTAAAAATAATTACTTGGTTGGTTTTGAAAATGACTTTAAATGAAGTAACTTGTTAGTTTCCTGTAAATTTTATTCAAGATTGCCTAATAAATAGGGAAGCACACGCACTTGGCATTCTATTGAGACTTTGACCATGCCAAGACTAGCTCATACAAAATTATGGTTGGGGGGAGGGTCGGAGGGGAGAGGTGGAGGAAGAAGGATTCCAACGAACAGTTCCTGATCCAGTACAGTTAAAATGTTCTACTCAGCTCTTGTGAAAACATACCCATTTTTTTGTGAGGAACAATGATCAAACTCACAACTGAAGTCTAAAACTCAGAAATTTAATCTCGTAATGTTTGTGTTAGCAAACTGTCCCTAGGATTAAGTTCTGACAATGTGAGGCCTTAGCTTTTCAAACGACTTAACTTAGTTTTTAGGTAACGCTGTTAAGTGTTTATAGTTGTCTCTAAATTGCATTTTGAATGTTTTCTTGGAGATGGATTTTGTTCCAATAAATCTGAGATTTCATTAATTAAAGCAGTAGCAAATACACTCATTATAAATCAATCAGACACAATTATGGTCATCTGAAGCCTGATGCCTCTGTTTGCTGCTGTTCCCTGGGGAGGTTTGGCTGAAATAGGAGCACAAATATTGATAGGCAGCTTGAGTTAAAGCTGTGCCTCCTTTTTAAAAACAGGCATAGTTGGGTAGATTACATAGACTTTTACCATATGGGACAACTTTCATGACTGAGTTTAAACTGAGTTTAGAAAATTGTACACAAACTTTTAGAAAAGATTTTTGGTTTTAAACACTCAGGCTGTCTCTAGACTGGCCAGTTTTTTCCAGAAAAACTTGCCAGCTGTCTACACTGGCCGCTTGAATTTCCGCAAATGCACTGACTTCTTACTGTAAGAAATCAGTGCTTCTTGCGGAAATACTATGCTGCTCCCGTTCAGGCAAAAGTCCTTTTTGTACAAAACTTTTGCGCAAAAGGGCCAGTGTAGACAGCTCCAATTTGTTTTCCCAAAAAAAGCCCCGATCGCAAAAAAGGCAATCGGGGCTTTTTTGCGGAAAAGTGGCTCTAGATTGGCACGGACGCTTTTCCGCAAAAAGTGCTTTTGCGGAAAAGCATCTGCTAATCTAGACGCCCTTTTCTGAAAATGCTTTTAATGGAAAACTTTTCCGTCAAAAGCATTTCCGGAAAATCCTGCCAGTCGAGACACAGCCTCATAGTTATCAACACCTCAGAGCTTTATTGTGCTAGTGCTTAGACTATGCCTATAAAAAAATGCAATATAAATACTTTTAATAACTGATATGGAAATAACACAAGGACACTTGGCAAACCAGTTAACCTCATGATTATAGTGAGAACCTGTTAGATCATCCTGGTCCTACAAAGGCAGGATTGCTCTCTCCAGTATTTTTACTACCACTTTAGTGCACGCTAGTTGTAAAAGTTCCAGGTAATAGCGTTGCTTCTTCCCGGTGCCAAAAAAGTTACCATCAAACTTTCTCCTAATAGTCAGCATCAGTTTGTTGGAGTTCTAATTATATAAAGTCCTTTAGAGACATTGGTTTTTTTATATCCTGAACTCTGGAATATTTTATTGAATTAGTTTTTCTCCTTTCCTACTGTTCAGCCCTTATGATGCAAATCAGCGCTTCAGTGATCTCCAGGAATGTGAAAAAAAGCCCTAACTTGAAAGGTATTCTGATAGAAAATATTTACTTCAGTGCAAAAAGATGTTCTTATGAACTATTATCTGCAAGAACATAATACGACTGAAACATACCAAATTGAGAAGACAAATTCCATTCTTAGATTACCTTTTTCTTTTGGGCCTGAACAGATGTTGATATTTACATGAATATCCCTACTACATTACTGTGTCCATTTTTTTTTTCCCAAATACAGCAGTTATCAATGTGGAGGACAATGTAGCACTTTAAAGACTAACAAGATGGTTTATTAGATGATTAATCATCTAATAAACCATCTTGTTAGTCTTTAAAGTGCTACATTGTCCTGAATTTTGCTTCAACTACCCCAGACTAACACTGCTACATTTCTATCATTATCAATGTGGTGTGTCTTATGTCCTTATGATACCACTTGCCATTAATAGTGCTGTCTTACTGAAATAATGTTTATATATTATGTTACTGCTTTGAGAATATAAAAAAAAAATTCTCCAGGAAAAATATTAGTGCTACAAAACCCATGTAGATGTATACCACTTTCTGGAATAAGATTGCAAACCTATGTAATTCTAAAAGCATTTAATCCTTAAATCTGAGCCTTCATTCAAAATAGTAGCAGCATACTCTCTTTCTATTTAAACAATCATAAAAGTTAAACTGTGTGTGGCGTTCTTCCAGCAGGTCAGTTTTGTTTAGCATCTCCTCTGAGGGAGCTGAGCTGTGGTGGTGGGCTCACTGTGAAACCGGAGTCCTGATATTACTCCAAAAGCACTGTTGACTCTCTTAAACAGTACTCTGCTATCCTTTGGGTTTGCAGTTGAATAAGATTCTTGGATAATGTGACTAGTCAATGGAATTAACCAATGGGTCCTAAAATAATGTTATAGATGGCTCTCTTCTCTTCTCCCCCCTCCCCCCGGCTGTGAACAGATGAGCATTATCCTTCCTCATTTAGGGGGAGGGAACATAAATAGTCCAGTTCTATATTTATAATCTGTAATGGCAAACAGTGACTAATTAGCTAACTCTGCTTACAGATTCATCCATAATTGGTTTTCTGCCTCTTTTGGGGGTTGGACATGGCCCCTGAAGAAACAGCATTAACTCTGCTTTACTTGGACATTTTGTTACTGTATTAACTAAGATTAACAAATATTCTTGCAGACCATTAGAAAACATAACATGAAGAAAGCTTGTTTTACTAAACATATGGAGTAAAGTCAAGATACTATGCATTTCTGCTGTTTTAACTTCCTTTATTTTGGTTTTTTGCAGGAAAGATGTCTGTCATCCTGGCAGTGCTGACTATCTTCATCTAGCAGTGAACACAATAGCAGAAGACAATGGAAAAATTGAGAAACTTCATATAAGTGCACTACATTTCCTAGACTCCTCTCACTGCAGGCCTTCTTCCCCTCCCCCCCTTCCCCAGTGAATTCAAATAGAGGTAGAGGTGTTGAGCTTGAGTGAAGCAGCATTAAAGAAAAGAGTGTCTCCCTCACCCAGTTTTCAAAGATAGCAGTGAATGTGAATGCTTAAGGGCTCAGAAGCAATCATGGTGGTAGCATCAGTGAGTCTCATGAACATAAAATTAGCTACCATATTGTTACCTCTGCATAGTGTGGAGTTCCTTTTTATAGAATACTTTTAACTACCTGAACGTATGGTGTATTCTGGGTTGTGGTTGCTGTTGAGAGGAAAGGCCTGTTGAAATTTCCAAATAGAAGTTCCTATTGTCCCTCTAAAAGTGCAGATTTAATGATGCCAAAGGAACTTACTGATCTGCTTTTAATTGTTCAGACTTATCATCCTCTTTTAAATCAAAACTTGTGTATAATCAGTGTTCCTTGATTCCCATGTCCAGGAAACTAAAAGGAAAACCCCCAAACTAGGAATACTGCAGTATTCTTACCCCAAGTATTGCATTCAATACAGGGTAGAGCATCACAGGGTGCAGTATCTGGATATTACTTTCAGGTGTTCAGAATTGACACTACCACATTTTTAAGCTCCTATTGAGAGCCAAAGCAAATTATATCTATTTCCCTATAAGCCATGAGCACTTTCTGAAAAGTAAACAGTAAAATGGCTATATTGTGAGCAAATTCATCTTTGATCCTGTGCCTAAAAAATTCTATTTTTATATTCCAGTAGCAGGAAATAAGTTTGGTTCACATTTTTGTGAGTTTTTTACGTTCAGGATATAATTCTCTGGAAAAGGTTAATTGTAGCCAAATGCTGTTTGTCATTATCACTGGAAATATAATTTATTTGTATTTATGAGTTGTACAGAATTTTACGTGGCAATCTGCTTATTTATCAAATGAAGAAATGGGAATTTGTGTTGTACGTAAGTCTTCTCTAAATAAAGAATGTATTAAACTTCAGCATCCTGACTTTTTTCCTCTTATGCATTAATCATCTGCCTCATTACTGATTGGGGGGGGGGGGGGGGGGGGGTGCGAGCGTAGC